AGTAGGCATTTATTGAATGCCCACTTCTTCCAGGCTTCGTGCGAGGAGTTGTGAGATGCGGTGGTAAGAGACAGTCGTCCCATCTTCCCTCCCTGGGGACCGACGACTTTGCACATAAACAACAGTAGAAATAAATAAGGCAGTGTATTAAGGGGGCTTGGAGGTTAGGGTGTTTTGTTTGTTTTGTCTTTCTAAAGTGCCGCTCACTATGGTGAGTCTCTGTCCTAGCTTACTTAGTGGAGGATACTGTAGGAGCCACATTTTGGTTCTTTAATTTGGAGGAAATTTTTAGGTTAAAGACTCAGCAAGGACCTGTCCTTAAGTTAATAAAACAAAGTCGTCACTTTCAAGGCTTGAAACAAACATCTTTCCACAGTGCATTCTTGTACTGTTGCGTTGCAGTAGGACGTTAAGCAAATTCTGTGCCTTAAGCATTAGTGATCTGTCTTTGTATGAGATGTTGTTCTTTAGATTATTTTAAAAGGTGGACCGGGCACTTCACTGTTTACTAGAGATTTTTGTTTTCATTGCCAAAAAGTCTTGTGGTTGGCAGTAAACTAAAGTTGGGGAGAGGGAGAGGACAGATGGACAAAGGAGAGAGACTTTAGAGAAAAGCCCCTAAACTAAAGGAAGGCCTTCTGCTGCTTGTTTTAACCCTTGTGGAAATCTCAGCAAGCTTGGGAAGAGACAGACCTGGCCCCCTGCCGCAGACTTGGTGACCTGCCAGGTAAGGTTAACAGATTAAGGTGCATTCTGGGCTTTTGGGTTTTGCTAACTAAATGGACCAAGACTTTTCGAACAGTCTGCTTTGTGAATATTTGCTTTTTTTTTCTCCCTAAAGATTGTGTGAAAAACAAAACCAAAATAACTTTCTGTCATTGGGGGGTGCTGGTCATTTTTATTCTGGGTAATTAATGTGTCTCTACTCGAATTTTGCTGAATTGATGAGTATTGAGATTTGGGGGAAAGCATTTTATAGGTGGGGCATTTTCCAAATTTTAAGGGCCGGTGTGTTCAGAAGGGACTGTTTGAGACTATCCAAGTGAAGGATTTAAAAAAATTGAATAGCAAAATGCATGTGTTTCAGTATTTAAAGCTCTTAGCATTGATTTTATTAGAGACTTAAAAACACCCTGTATTCATCTAATTAGTCTTATGTCGGAGACCAGCTTCGACAAGGATACCACTTACCAGAGTAGGGACATGAGGATTAGAAAAATAAGTAAAGAGAAGCAAGTGAAAATAATAGAAAGAAACGGGATTGCATCAGGAGCGTTTAATTTCCATTTGCTCAAATATCCCGACCCCAAAGTAGGAGTAAGATTAAAAACTGCATTAGCATGATACAAGGAATGAGCAGAGCAGTTAAAGGATTCGGGATACCTTCTTAGTTAAACATTCTGTTGCCAAAAAAAAAAAAAAAAAGACAAAACCTTAGACCAAAACATTCTGTAAGCACATTACTCCCTGGGTGGAATCCATAGATATCCCCCTAAGGGAGTAGGAGCCTAGTTGGATCCTTAGACTTTTGTTTGAGGTAGACACAGATCTACTTCTTAATTCCTGAAATACCAGGTCTGGATATTAACCACACCTGTTATCTGAACTGTTAACAATAACCTTGGGGGAACAGAAGTTCCAACTTTATGACCTTTAGTCAGGTAGAATGAACCCATACCTACGGGCCCTGCCGGTCTCATTAAATAAAATCCCGGAGTCAGATATTAGGGGGTGAAAGCTGAAAGACAGGCAGACCAAGCAGCCACAGTCACTTCTTATCTTGACGAAATCTCAGACCAAATGGTGGCTCCTGTTCTATGAATTCTCAGACTGAATGGGGGAGAGATCCTGTCTCCACCTGCCTTATATTGCTGTCTTCACTTCTTGATGCTGGGATCAAAGGTGTGAGCCACCAGCCCCTGGCTCGGCTCTGTTTCTCTTTTAGAATAAGTCAGACTCTGGTGGCCTTGAACTCCTGATCTCCCTGGTCCCCCCCCCCCCCCCCCCCCCCCCCCCCCAGTGCTGGAATTAAGGGTGTGTGCCACCACTGCTTGGCCTCTCTGGTTGACTAGTGGCTAGCTCTGCCCTCTGATCTCAGACCACAAACAGAATGTCACACAGCAGTGAGACTGACAAAAGGTCTCTGGGACTGACCGAAGCTTGAGTCTGCCTCCAGTTCTCCTAAGAAAGGGGAGAAAGGAATCTAAAATAGAGATTCCATGTCAGCTTTCAACTCAACCAACTCAACTAACGTTTCAGAATGTAAATTCACTGTAAATACGTTTTCCTTCTGTCAGTTTGGAGCACATGATTTGTCTTGTAGTGTCCTTGCTCTTTATTAAATAGGGGAGCTGTCTGCTGGAGGCTGGCTTCCTCAGTGTAGCCGGTGAGACGGACTGTAACTAGACTGCTCCTCTCATCTGTCTGAAGTGAACTCACATGCTTCCTGGGGTGCCTTCGATTTTCTTTACTATCATTCTGGGAACTGGAGTCTGCCTGTTCTTCCAGAGGACCAGAGTTGGGTCTCAGCACTTCCGTGTCAGCTCATATTTGTCTGTAACTGCAGTCGCAAGGGTCCAGTGCCCTCTTCTGGCCTCCTCATGCTCATGGTGCACAGACATGTTTGCAGGCAAAACACCCACACATATCAAATAATAAGGAAACTTCTTTCAGAAGCTTTTGCATTGGCCTATACAGATTAGGAATTATGTTGGAGCACTGGTTTGATGGTACACAGAAGAGATGGTAGGTTCTTAGTGTTCAAGCTTATTTATCTGTAGATAATTTCCCCTTTGATCTCCTAATACATTTGAATATGTTTTGGTTCCAATAGTTCCTCGACTCTAAAACTAGCTTTTTAAAAAATAATTTATTTTGGGGCTGGAAAGATGGCTCAGCGGATAAGAGCATTGCCTGCTCTTCCAAAGGTCCTGAGTTCAATTCCCAGCAACCACATGGTGGTTTACAACCATCTGTAATGGGGTCTGGTGCCCTCTTCTGGCCTGCAGGCATACGTGTAGACAGAATATTGTATATATAATAAATAAATAAATTTAAAAAAAATAATAATTTATTTTTACTTTATGTGCATTGGTGTTTTGCCTACGTGTATGTCTGTATGAAGGTGTTGGATTCCCTGGAACTGGACTTAGAGGCAGTTGTGAGCTGCCATGCGGGTGCTGGGAACTGAACATGGGTCCTCTGAAAGAGCAGCCAGTGCTCTTAACCACTGAGCCATCTCTCCAGCCCTAAAACTAGTTTTATTACATTTTACTTTCTTTGAAGATAAAATAATATAAGTAAGCTCGTTACAGCTTAGTTGATAATATTTAGTCAAGTATGGTGGCTTACACCTTCAATTCCAGCCCTCTGGACACTGGGGCAGGAGACCTTGTCTCAAAAGACAAAGAAAAAAAAAATCAACAGCTTTCTTTCTTTTCTTGTGTCACACAAAGTAATGCAGTTGATAACCACTGACGTTTTAGACTTACTAAAATGTGGGGCAGTTAAAAGGCCTGCCCTGAATTAGTTCATTGTAATCAGTGAATTTTACAAATTTGCCTTTGTGCTCACAAGGAACTTGTTACTAAGAAGAGCTTATTAGGAGTGGGGTTCTCTCTTATATAAATGGAAATTAACAAACTGTTTGCTTTACAAACTTTAATGAGTGATTAAATGGTGGTGTGCTTTTTGGAAATTATACATGATAATCTATTGCTTTTTTATACTCAATAAATGGGTTTACAAATCCTTTATAGTCAGCTTCTTAAATTTAAAATGATTAGAGTGAATTGCTTCCTGTTTTTCCCATATATGATATTGTTAACATGGTATAATTGATTTTTCAGTACATCTTAATTATTCAGTCATAATTTACAATCAACTCAGCCATTTCTCTGAAACTGTGAGGCGCTCACCTTTTGTAGCCCTGTTTTAGTCTCTACTCTGGGGAGATGGCAGAAGCCAAAGCCTGCTCTTTCCTCCCCCCAGAAAGGGTACACACACTCACACACACCCTCAACACATGTAATACAGCTGCATACATTGTATTCTGTATCAAACAGATGGGCAGAAGCAGCTCTGCATGGTTAAGTTCTGAACACTAACTTTCAGAAGTGACTCACACTGCTTTGAAAGTAAATCCAATATAAGAAATTAACTCCTTTTGCTCCTCTATTTTGCCTACTGGTCAGGGACTGTTAACAGAGCTTTAGGGCAAATGTCCTCTAGGAGTCCCATTGGGCTAATCTCAGCCACCTGGCTCAACATGCCAATCAAAGACAGCAGCTTTAGCCAGTGTGATCACATTGGGTGGGCCACGCAGGTTCAGCAATCTCAGGTCTGTCTGTGTCAGCTTTGTTGGAAAGGGAAGCAGGCTGAGACAAAAGGTTTGCAAGGCCTATAGAGCTGATAGGTCATTCTGGTCAGGTCAGTGGCCCCATTCCCATCTTGGGGTAATTTGTTCCCATCTGGGGCTGATTTCATCACGGGGATAACTTTTTCTGCCAGGTTAGCATTGATGGGGTTAGTTCTACATCCCTGTCCTAAAGATGATTTTTCATTTGTTATATTCCTAGACTCCAAGGTAACTGCAGAACAAAAAGGTAGAGAGGACAAAAGTAAGAGAGGGACAGAATGGAGTCAGTTAGGCCAGTGATTGGGCTGTTCGTCAGTACTATAAATATCAAAGTCCCTGATGCTTAGGCATTGCTTTCTTCTTAAGAACCCCCCCCCCCCCTTAAGAAATAAAATTCCAGACAGATCTTGTAGTGGTATACACTTTTAATCACTTACTCAGACTACAGGTGGGTCTGAGTTCAAGGTCAGCCTGGTCTACAGAGTGAGGTCAGGAATACACAGAGAAACCCCATCTCAAAAAACAAAACAATTTCTTTCTTTACTTTTATTTCCTTATTTTGAGACAAGGTAACTCTGGGTGGCCTGAGCTTGCTGTGTAGATCAGGTTGGTCTTGACCTTGTTGCCAACCTTGTGCCTTCTGCCTGGTAACTACTAGAATCATAGGTGTATGCCATAGTGCCCAGTAATACTCGATTAATAAAAACTCAGAGAGAGAAATATGGGTTCAGCCTGAAGGTCAGAAAAGCAAAACAGCCAGCCTTTCTGAAATGGCAATCCTACCTACAAGAATCTAAGGATGAGACTGAGATTTAGAGCTGTTTTCTCCCGTTTTATAATCCTCTCTCTGACTGGCATTAAAGACATGCCGGTTTCTATGGCAACTAATGTGACTACTGGGATATTAAAGGCGTGTGTTATCACTGCCTGGTCTGTAAGGCTGACCAGTGGGACTGTTTTCCTCTCTGATCTTCAGGTGAGCTTTATTTATTACAATACAAATGAAATGCCACTACAGCCCAGCAAGAAGTAATTCTCTGTTAGGAATAAAATGCAGCAAAAGCTATTTGTGTGTACGTGTGCCCACTGTTGTGCAGCTGTGGAGGCCACACGACAGTTTTCAGGGGTCTGTTCTCTCCCTCCCCTTTACGTGGGTTCCAGGAATTGAACCCTGATTGTCCAGTTTGCACATCAAGCGCTTTTACCTGCAGATCCGTCTTGCCTCCCTTCTTTCCCTCTTTGAGGCAGGATCACATGTGGTCCAGGTTGGCCTTGTGTATTAGAGAATGACCTTAAACTTTTAAAAAATATATCTCATTTATTTATTATATATACAGTGTTCTGCCTGCACACTAGAAGAGGGTACCACCAGATCTCATAGATGGTTGTGAGCCACCATGTGGGTGCTGGGACATGAACTCAGGTCCTCTAGAAGAGCAGTCAGTGCTCTTAACCTCTGAGCCATCTGTCCAGTCCTGACCTTAAACTTCTTATCTTCCTACCTCTGTCTGCTGAGTGCTCTGATTATGTGTTCCTCACTGGATTAACTTTACTTTTGATTATTTTTAACTTTTTTTTTATTTTTACTGTACTTGTATGATGTTTTTGCCTGCTTGTTTGTCTGTGCATTATATTGGAGTAATACCTAAGGAGGGAAGAAGTTAGATCGTCTGGGATTAGATTTACAGGTGATTGGGAGCTACCACGTGGAATCTAACCCAGGTCTTCTGGAAGAGCAGCAAGTGCTGGTAACCATTGAGCCGTTTCTCCACCCCCTACTTCTTCTTAGTAATAGTATTTTAGAATTTTTATTTTATGTGTGTGACCGTTTTGCTTATACTTATGTCTATGTACCGCATGTGTGAGGAGCCCAGAAGAAGGTATTAGGTCCCCTGAAATTTGAGTTACAGACAGTTTTGAGCCATCATATAGGTACTAGGAATTGAACCTTTATTCTTATTTTTTAAGGTAGCATACTTGTATCTGACTGTACAAATGAATCCAAGGCCTGTCTTCATGGTCGGTGTTGTGAGAAATTGGAGGTAACCTTGTGTTTTCCACATTTTATCTGTTATATTGCTTCCCCCTCGGTAAAACGCTCAGTTGTGTGTGTGTCTCCGTTCCACTAATCACCTGACTGCTAGCACCACACCGTGTAGATCTGTGTCATGCAGCATTTTACCTTGAACACGGTAAGCACTAAAAACAGTAGGTAGTACTAGGGCCATAGCTCCTTCGGTAAAATGCTCGCCTTGCAAGTGTGGGGACTGAGTGTGCTCCCCAGAACTCACATCAAAAATAAAAGCTAATATAGTAGCACTGGCCTCCACAGGCTTGAACTCACTTGAACATGCAAACACACAGAGAACATTAGACAGGTAGGTTTCTATAGCAGATGTGTATGTGGCTCCAGATGCTGTAGGGCTGTGTCACCCTCCACGACATGGCTCTGTGCTGCTTTCCTGGGCTCCTGGTGCAGCTGTCAAGGTACCTCAGGTGGGCAGCCACCTTTGCCCTCCCTCATCTAGAGCTGCCATTACCCATCTTACTCTGGGACGAGAAACACTCACATTTCATGTAAAGCTGAGGGCTGAGGGACTTTCCAGTTTGGAAATCTTTCACATGTAGGCTTGGCCTTTATTTGGCATATTTGGAGACATTTTCTGTCTCTATTTTGACTGATTTTAGAGTTAGTTGTTGACCTCAGAAAACTGATTATGGAGTAGTTATGCTGTTTTGTCTCATTTAGATACAGCCAGAGTTCATACAAAGTAATTGGTCATTACTACTTATCAGTCACTAGGGAGTTGCAGGGAACAGCTCCTGTTCTCAGTAAACCGCTGTAGGAGGAAGAAACTTGAGGTTGTGCTAGGACTCTAACTAGGGGACGATGGCATTCTTTCACTCAAGCTCAGGTACAGTTTCAGGTCGGTTTACCCCAAGGACTCCGGAAAACAAGGTGGCAAAGCCACGCTAACGGCTTTGGCGTGGGCTGCCTTCTCAGCCGCACTCACACTCACCTTCAGCTGGTGATGGGCTCTGACGAGAGCTGGAGAGATGCCGTCCTGCCGGCAGGTCTAGTTCCAGGCCCACCAGAAGCGGCCGTCCAGCATGGCTGGGTGATCACGGCTCCGCTGGGCCCGACTAGGAGCCATGTCTAGTGTCTAGTTGTCTGACCAGTGCTCGCCGTGCAAACCTAGTGGACTGAAGTCCATCCCTGGAACCCACCCGTGGAGGGAGGGCACTGCCCTGGGAGTTGTCCTCTCTGCTCTGCACAGGCTCACGCGGGAGGGATGACTCTCACACACAAAAAGACCTGTACACTGCTCGAGTGGAAGCTCTTTGGTTTTCTTCTCTGAAATGCATTTTCTCCTCTACCTTCTCTATAAAACTGGAGGAAGGTGCTCTTTAGTGCTCTGTTCCTGACAGGATTTTTACCCCCAGCTTTAAGTAAATGTTAAGAATTCCTTAGAAGCTTAAGATTCGCCCTGTGCACAGCCTCACGGGTCAGGCAAGCAGGAAATCACCTGATATGGTGGTGGATAATATTTGAATATGGGTGTGCTCTTCTTTATGAATTATGTTCTTGAAAAGCTTGTGAGTATGCCACCATACAAACCAAATAGTTGTAAATGTATTACTAGCTGGCTTATTCCCCTAAGAATGAGCAGATGTTTTATTGGACATTATTAAGGAAGCCAGTAGTTGTAAATGTATTACTAGCGGGCTTGTTCTCCTAAGATACAAGCAGGTGTTTTATTGGACTAAATAGAATATTATTAAGGAAGCCAATCTATAGAGAAAATGGCCTGTTTTTGAGTATTTGTGCTAATGTATGGTGTTACTACATTTTCTTTATTATATTTAGTTTTGACATTACTAAAAATCTGTTTCTGCAGATAGTAAGTGAACTGTACACTGCACTGTGGGTCAGAGGCACCAAGTGATAGATTGCTGTACCTCCAGCCATATAAATCCAGATCAATCCTATTCTGAAGTCTGTTTCACAACATGAGCCTTTCCCGCTTCCTTTGGAGGTTGAGACAGGCTGCTCGCATGTAAAACACTGTCTTCCGAGGGTGAGCTCTCAACCTTATTTTATTTATGTGCATGCATGTGCATTCCCGGTGAGGCCCAGAGAAGGCTTCGGATCCCCTGGAGCTGGAGTTGCAGGTGGTTTGGAGCTGCCAGTGTGTGGCCAGGAATGAAACTAATGCTGCTGTAAGAACAATATCTCACCGGGCGGAAGTGGCGGACACCTTTAATCCCAGCACTAGGGAGGCAGAGGCAGGTGGATCTCTGTGAATTCGAGGCCAGCCTGGTTTACAGAGCTAGTTCTAGGAAAGGTTCCAAAGCTACAACAGAGAAACCCTGTCTTGAAAAACCGAAATAAAAAAAAACAAGGGGGGGGGGGGAAGAACAGTGTCTCTCCAGCCCCTTACAGATTTTAGATGACCTCAGATTCTGTCAGAGTTGCCTAATAGTTTTGAGCAACAATGATCTTGAGTTCCAGTTTTCTTCTATCAGAACACAGAATAGTAAATTTTATATCTTATGAACCAAGTGAAATTTAAGAATATCTCTTTTATCCCAATAGTTTTGGTCATCCTATTATCAAGCTGGTATGAATTCACAGGCCTTGCTATTGAGGTTGGGCTAGTGTGACTCACTTTGTAGCCTACACTGGCGTCAAACTGGGAGTCCGTCTGTCTCATCTTCCTGAGTGATGAGATCATAGATGTGCTCCATTGTGCCTGACTCCAAAAATGGTTTTTAAGTATTTATTTCTTTCTATTTTATATGTATGGTTCTTTTGCCTGTGTGTACATCTGCGTACCATGTGTGTGCCTAGTTCCCGGGGAAGCCAGAAGAGGACGTTGGATCCCTGGACCTGGAGTTACAGATGGTTGTTAGCTGCCATGTGTATGCTGGGAATGAAATTGAGTCTTATGGAAGAATAGCTAGTGATCTTAACTGCTGGGCCATCTCTACAGCCCCCCTCCCAAACTGTTTTATAGCTGATACTTGGATTATTCTGAGGGATGTAATTTGAACCTTTTTTTTTTTTTTACTTCATGGCAAAGATCCAGCACTAGCCAGGTGAGTGGTGTGGTTGTATAGGAAAGAGTGGTAGTTTCTCCTCAAGAGTCTGACATTTTACCAGGCGGTGGTGGCGCACGCCTTTAATCCCAGCACTTGGGAGGCAGAGGCAGGCAGATCTCTGTGAGTTCGAGACACACACACACACACACACACACACACACACACACCCC